CATAATCTTCAGATTTAATGGGGCAGAAGACTGCAAAGGGCCAAACCCGTCTTGATAAAATGCCCTGAAGTCAGCAACTTTATGCAGAGGTGGATCTGGCACAATGTGATTTCTAGGGCTGCATCTGGTAGTTACATGAAAATGCAGGACTAATATCAATGACATGGCAGCAGATTAGTCATAAACCACTGCTGAAGATAGAAAATACTGTGGGGGAACTCAGCAGCTCAATCTCTCTTGTCTTTAGGGCAGCCCAAATCATTTTATCCTGTCTGTTGGTGTGCATGCAAATGGGAAACGTTCCCTCTTCCTAAAATTCTTTCGTTCCCTCTTCCTAAAATTTTTGTATGTGCACATACTGTTCATCACTAAAATGATCAGTGCAGGGGCTGTTGCTTTGACAAGGTTGTTGGGAGCTGACCAACATAGGGGCACATCAGTGGATGGACGCAATACCGAGGACATCCCAGTGCGTAATTTGCTGAAGAGAACTGTAGGTCTGACACACTGTAAATGGAACTGCCTTATATAAACTGTGTTTGTAGAACATAACCTGCAAATGCATTGCAATCCGAGAGCCTGAGCCTTAAAATGTGGATATTGGTCCGATAAACAGCGTCACGTTATCTGTTTTATGCTCCTGCTCAATGCAGAACACGCGCTGCCGAGAAACAGAAAGGACATGCATTTGTTTTCAGGCACAGGGCTTTTGCAACCACTTGGGAAGAATATTCTTGATTGAGAACCAAAACATTCCATGATGCTTAACAAACCTGCAAATTGAAAAATCAACATCTGCCCTGTGTAGCAACGTAGCAGGAGAAGGACCTGTAGCCTGAAAAATTCGAAATACTCCTTAAATGACGTTTTGGCGCATTTGTAAAATTACTCTGCTCTCTGAATCAAGGCTCAAGCAGTTTTTATATGACAGCATATGTTGTGTTGATAGACAAAATCTCAGCCTGCACTTGCCCATGGAAACTGCTGGATAACCTGGGATTGTGCAGCGACTGGAATTTTGGAATTCTGGCTGCTTGTGCAATGGCTGCTGGGATTTCTTTTTTTTTTCCTTTTTTTTTTGCTGTTTCCCTTATTTACATATCACGAGACGTGTCTTCATAAAGTTACTTTAATAATTCATTAGATTGATCTCTTCAGAAATTTGCTCGGGGTAAGGTGTCATTAGGAAAAGTTATTTAAACTTATTTAAAGGTTTGTGCTTGAGCAGGGCATTTACCTGCCTCACTGCTGATATTCTAAAAATACCTCCATGTCCATACCATTATCCATTCTTCACGTCCAATTGCTCTGTTATGGTAATAGTCAGAAGCACACCATGTAGTAATTACTTACAGCTGACTTAAGAAAAGAATATTCAACTCCCCCACTGTTCCACTAGAAGGTCTTTATGCACTATTAACTCATTCCTGTTTATTAATACTCTACTGGTAATTCTGGCTGCTGCTTTTTAGGTTTGTAATAGGAGGACTATTAAACAGCAATTATTGACCATATGGGTTAGTGAATATTTGTGGTGGTTGTTGGGTGGTTGTTTTGTTGTGGGTTTTTTATTTTTTTTTAATCCTTTTAAGTTGTTTTTAAGGAGCCACATCACAATATAGTGGTGCAACTTTACATCTGCCTGGGATTAGCAGCTTTGGCAGCATTCCCCACCTAGAAAATGCAAATACCATATTTCAGAAATATCAGCTGAAGCTGTGAAAATACAGAGCAATTTAAAAAACATGAAAACACTGTGCCAGACAAAGTGAAAATCTTTGTCTTTTTTTTTCTTTTCCCCAGCAGTATATGGTTTGATCTCCTTTTTTTCCCCCTTTTTTTGGTCTGTCTGTCTTTCTGTTTCTCTTTCTTTGACTTTTTTTTTCCCAGTTTTTTGGGTCTTATCCTAGAATTTGGAAATGGTCAAGTGTAAATTTCAAACTAATCAAACTTCTTCTAGAAAAGTGTGAATTAGAGCACTTTTAAGACCTAGAAATCTGCCTTCCTCGGTAAGCTTGCCTAGTGAGAAGACTGAGGAGAGACAAAATTACAGCAATTATTTCTCAAATAGCTGGGCTGAAAAAAATTGTGCCTTCCTCCCTTTCCTCTCCTGCCTTTTTTTTTTTTTTTTGCCTCCCCCCCTTTTTTTTTAATCATCTTAAAATCCAGCTGCAGTTCCTGCCTTTGCCAGCAGCAGTAGCTTTGTGGGTTTGCAGCAATGATTCCTTTTCCCACTGCTCTGCCCCGGGAAGGCCAAACCAACTCACAGTTTTGGCTTCCACTTCCATTCTGGTGAGAAAATCAAAGACTTTAGTAGGGAAAAATTATGGAGCAATGAGAAAGTGTAACCAGAAGCCTGGGGTGTGGCACAGGAGAAGAATGATTTGGTGGGTGAGTTGATTTTAATACAAAAGTACCGGGCTATGAGCAAATATTTTGCAGAATGTGTTCTCCTTTCTAAATTCTCTTTGGGATTGTCTCCAACACCACTGAAGAAAAGTCAAACTTTGAAAACCAATTACTTGTATTTGCCACTGACACAGCCTTTTTCTAGAATTTTCTTAATCCTTTAATGCTGTTCTTACACTTCCTTAGTTCTCCTGCTTGTGTGTGTTTGACTTGGATTATGAGCCCCAGCTCTGCCAGTTTGTTCCTCTGAGCTGGTGACCAGTAACAACTCCATTTAGGCACAACTGTGGGCACAGTTGGTTCTGATCATTGCATCACTAAAAAAATCTCTGCAATACTAAAACAACTAATGGCAAAAACAATTAATTTGAAATTTGAAATCAATTACTTTATTGCCAACTAAACACTCAATACTGTTGTTTCTTTTTTCCCCCATCCTTTTCTTTTTTGCTTTTAAGTTGAAATGCTTCCTTGGGCTAAACCCAAACTCCTGTGTGATGTGCCACACCAAAAGCAGTCCCTCCTTCAACAATTATTGCTTGGAAGGGGTATGTTTTTTCACAAAAGCTGGTACACTTCAGGTCCTGAGTGTTGCAGAGACATTTTTTTCCCTGATGGCAAAACTAAGAGAGGAAGAACTGAAGGGATGTGCCCTTGATAGAGAAACACTGGTGGAAGGTGGGAAGTCCTCTCTCATGGACGTTACCCCTGCCTTGCCTGAAATAGCTGCACAGCACTGGTAGGAATCCGTTGAGTGACATTAGACAAGGGACTGAAGGTATAAAAAGGTGACATTGAATTTATTGCTTGGAAATATGGGCTAGTTAATTTTCCTTATGTGCCTGGCATCTCTGCCATGGTGCTGGGTTTTATTTTTCCTTGTATAATTTGTTATTTAAAATGTTGTTTAAGGTGGAGGTGTCATTTTGAGTTTGGAGTAAATGACTAACTGGGAATCCTGTGTGAGGTGGCCCCTGGAGCAGGGCAGGGCTGCAGTGGGGCTGTGAGCAGGGGCCACAGGCAGAATTTACATCCCATTGATGTCAGAGCTGCCACAGCTGCTGGGCTTGACAGCTCTGCTGAACATCAGAGCTGTGTGAGGAAGAGCCTTACCTCTGAACCCCTAAAAGAGAGCTGGGTTTGCATCAGCTGAGTGGCTTGATTCTCTCATCTCTGATTTCAACCTGCCTTGGAACAGTCAATTATATTCAAGTAAGAGAATGTTGCGAAGTTTTATTCTTACAGTATAAAATAACAGGTTAAGACTGCCTGTGCTGCTGGTGTGTAGCTTAGTCAGGCTGGTAAATTAGTAGAGCATGATATTCTTTGAGAAGCTGGAATGTAGGAGCAATCCCTGAACATGCTTTAAGAAAAATGTTGTGCGAGTGATTCAGCTCTTCTCGCTGTTGCAGGGAGGAGATTAGAGGTGCAACCACTTTGTCAGTTCATCTCCTTAACTCATAATATATTATTTATTACAAGGATTTGGTTTCCTAAGCCTGTCTTCTTTTTTTTCTCTTAAGATACCACTGACTATTTGATCTTGAGGGCTTAGTTTTTATTATGATGATTATTATTATTATTATGTACAGGTATGTGGGGAGGGAAGGACTGAGCAACAGCCAAAGCCTTTAAAAAGCTTTTGAACACATGGACTGTCTGTGTTTTCATCTTGCTTTGGCACTCTGCAGCTTGTGCTGATGGTGTGACTGTGGTTGGTTCAAGTACATCTGGGGTCCCCTGTAGCCTTTATTTCAGGGGTTTTCTGACTCTCTTATCATTTGTTTCTCCTTTTTCTGGTATAACCAGGCCTGAGCTCTCAGTGTGAGATGTAAACTGCAGGGCCTGGATAAGGATGATTCTGCCTAACCTTAAACCAAGGGTAAGCCAGGCTTGTTGTGCTGCCCCTGTCTGTGTGTCTCACGTGTGGACACACCTCTGGGATCCAGCTTTTATCTTAAGGGCAGATCCAAATAAGATTTTACAGGAAAATGGGAACTCCAGTGACATCTGGCAGAAGAGGAAAGCCATTGTAAGATGAATTGGTCTTCTCCAGCGGGCATTTTATCAAAAATCAACTCCTTTTTTATTTAAAAAAAAAAAAAAAGTAAAATTTGTGATGTGTTTTTCTTTGCCTTTTTTTTTTAAGCAAACCTAACCCCCAAAAAACTAAGTAAACTAATGAAAATATTAACATTTAACTTTATTCAGACTAGCCAGAGTATTTTCACAGAGAGCAGGTGCATTCTTGGTGTAGCTGATGTTGCATGGTAGATTCTTCCATTTGTCAGATGTTTAGAAGAAGCCTTTCATTTAAAAGGAAGGGAGGAAGTCTTGCAGAAGTGACTTGTATGGGCTAAAATAAAAAAGTAAACTAGGCAGGAATAAACTTGCTGTGTGGGTGGCAAACTGAATGAAAAAACATCATGACTTTGTTCAGTTCCTGAAAGGGTGATCTGAGAATGTTTGATTAAAGGAGCTGGACTGTCTCATCACCTGAGCTGGACATAAAGAGGGATAAAGAATGTTAAATGAAGGTGCAGCAATGTGACATATCCCTGCTTTTCCTGACTTTGCCCCTCTCTCAGCAGACAGTTGATGAGAACAGAAGAAGGAGCAGATGATGGCACCAAAAACTGCCCTGGAGCTGTGCCTGGTGCAAACAGGATCCCGTGTGGAGAAGCAGATCGTGCTCCTGCAAAGTGTAAGTGCCTGCTCTGGTACATTCCTTCACAAAGAAACCCCACAAGCACAAATAAACCCCCTCTGTCTGTCTGAACTGGACATTTGGGGAAATTCCTTCCGAAATGTTGGTTTGAGATCAGAGAGAAATACCTGCTTTGTAACTTGCTCTGGTCATTCAACACCTGCCCTTCCTTCCCCGTCTGCCATTCCACCCTTTTGTCCTTCCTCTCACTGACTGAAACATTTGGGGCTCACTTCTGTAAGTTCTGATAAATCTTTTGTAATAGATTTTTGGGTTTTGCAGCTTAACAATATCAAATCCTTCCTGAGATTTATTGTCAGCTACACTTGACCTGGGGATCAGAACTGAGAACGTTTGATGGAATTTGTTGCAGAATCAGGGAATGTTGTGAAAGTTGCTATTTTTGGTTTCCGTTTTGCTGTACCTAGAGACTACAGATTTTTTAAAAAAATGAAATGATAAACAGTGTTTTCTTGGGTGTTCAAAACATGATGAGCGTGGGTGTTTCATGAACTTTGGCTTCTGGACAAGCTGATTTGTACCGTTCCTGATGGAGCGGTGCAAAGACATCCGAGGGTTTTAGCTTTGAGAATTTTAGAATTCCTTAAAAAAACCCAAACCACCACCACCAGCTCCCAGTGCAGGTGTAGCCTGACACAGTGGGAGTTTGGTAATCAGTTTGCTTTTCCCAGTTACTTTCCACAGCCCCTGTTGAAAGGTTCACAGACCCTTCCAGCCTTGCTGGAGACACCACTCTGTACAACCAAATGTGGCTGCAATGGCGGTGCTGGAGCTGGTGTGGACCAAGTGTTTATAGGAGATGGGACTGGTGTTGGGTGAACTACAGAGTGGCTTTGTTGGCTTCCTCCTGCAGAGTTCTTGGGCTGTCCCACCACTCCAGCTCAGTGGGAGAGGCAGCCCCATGGCAGTGGGGGGAAGAGGAGCAGTCTAGCAAACGGCGTTTCATCCGAGCAGGGCCCAAAAGAAATTAAGTTTAGCAAAGAAAACAAGTTTCATCAGTTAAGGCAATAAAGCACAGTCCCAGAGCAAGTCAATAATGCTCAATTGACAGCCAGTCAATATTTGTACTGGATTAACTTTTCAAGGAATGTGGAGATTTCGGTGGGTTTTATGTAAACACTGTAAATAGGTTGGGACGCTAAAGTACGGTTACAAATACCGCGTGTCAGATTAGATTAGAATCACTTCCAGGGAGCAGGAGTTTTCCTACCACGGAAGAGACATTTATATCTTGTGAAATGAACACAGATATGAATTTTTTGTTTGTCAAATGTATTCCAAAATGCAGCTGGGCAGATCTCGTGGCAGTGCTGCTCAGAACACTCCAAAGGACAACTTCTTCCCCCACCCCCTGTCTGTGCTGCTGCCAAGCTGTGCCAGGTAGGGCTGTAATTCAGGTGGCATCGTGGCTGCAACTCCATTGACACGAATGCTGTACAAATTAATTTAAATTTTGAGCTTGGTATAATGGAAAGAGCTGTTAAGAAATATTCAGCTTTTCTCACACTTGTTCTTTGCTGAGGAATTGGTCAGTGTGCTCAGAGATGAAACCAGAACGTGCTGGTTTCTGACCTCTGTGACACAAGGTCTTGCAGCTTTGCAGTGCCATGCCTGGCACCCACTTCTCACCAATAAAACATCTATTTACTCTTTCCAAAACTGGAAGCAAAGTGGACAAACATTTCAAGAAGAAATTAGTTACTTACAGCGCCTTTCTTTTTTTTTCCCCGAGATGTTGCCCCAGGTTTCCTGACTTGCTCCCTCATTGTAAGGAACTGGAATCATCACAAGATTCCCAGTGTTCTAGAAATAACTGAGGGTGATCTGGCCTGTCCTGCCTGTCCCCAGGCATGGCATTGAGGGCAAGCAGAAGTTGGCACTGCCCAGATTGGCAAAACAGCCCAAGTGAATCATGTCTCATGTGTAGGGAACACAATGCCCAACACTAGTGAAGCCCACACAGCCACCAAGAATCCCTCTTGCTGGAAAATAGATTACTGCATTTTATTGTTCTTCCTTTTATTTCTTCTGGCCCCTTTTTTTTTTTTTCCCGTAGAAAAGGTAATTAGGCCATAAACAGAGGTCTGACAACTAATTTTATCTGCAGCAAAATTAATATCATAAGCAACAGATAATTTTAGCTGAGCAAAATTAAAAAAGATATATTTTAATGCCATTTTAAACCACAAAGTCTAATTTTTTTCCTTTCTGAACTTCTCCTGCCTGGCTATTTTGTTATGTGTGGAGATGCTCACTCATTTAGTGAACAATTGTTTTACCTCTGCTCAGTTCCTGTCTCACCAACAGGCCTTGCTGGTGTTGGCCTGAGGTACGAAGTTGCTTTTAATTTCCTCTCTCTTGTTCTCTGGTTCCTTTCAAAGAAGAAATGATCTGAGGGAAAAGACATTGCTTTTCTTACCTCTAAATTTTCATTGACATTAATAGGAGGCAGGTGGCCAAATCCCTGCACACAGCTTTGAAAATTTAGGGTTTAACTTTCTTTCCTTTTTTTTCTTCTCCTGGGCTGATTCTTACGTTGCTGGAGTTGTGAATCCTCTGAAAAGATATTAAATGTGCATCCATACCATGTCAGCAGTGCCTAGAGAGTTTATCTACGAAATTATCGTCTACCTTCCAAATCTATAACCCTAAAATATTGATTGGTTAAAAGGTAGTGGATAAAGATTAAGACAGCACAGCAGCAGATTACCCTAATCAAATAAAAAGACTATTAACAGAGCTTCTCCCAGTTCTGAAGATGTTGGTTTGAAATACAGATGTCTTAACCAAAGTGCTACGTCTCGTTTTCTGAATGCATTTTTGAATGCATTTAAATAAATTACCAAATAGAAAGGAAGCAGAGAAAAACTCCACACGCCCCAGACAGTAAATTTCCATTTATAATAAAATTATTTCCTGCATTTCAGCAAGCAGTTGGAACTTTTAAAGATCTTTTTCATTGGATAGTGAGGAGTCAAGTGCTGGATTCTCAGCTTAGAGGGCTCTGAAGGCACATTTGTGATTTTTAAACCTGTAGTTGAGTGTGGGCACATCGACCTGAGCGTGTGGTGAAAGACGGGAGTGGGGTCACTGTGCAAAGCTTAAACAGAAATCATGTTCAACCTATATTTTATGGTTTGGGAACAGTTCTTTTAGATGATGGATTTGGGATGCCAAAATTTGAGGCAGTGTTTACTGAAAAGCAGCTCTTTTTCGTTGCCTTGGGTGTGAGTTTATGAGTGAGGTTATGTCGTGCAGGGGTCTGCAAAGGTACCAGGTACCAGGTGATCTGCTTAAACCCAGCATCACAGATCACATCCCCAGACCCTTCCTTTGATTTGGAGCCCTAGAATCCTTTGGAAAATTATCCCTGCTTAAAACCAGCACTGGTTCCACCGCTTTTGAATTTGTCACAAACATCTTATTTAGCATGGCGGGCCATATGCTTATTAATGTTCAGTGGGAGTAAACTACCAAGAATATTGCCTGGAAAAGAGTGGCATTTGTCACTAATGCTTTTAATTTATAGTGGGAATTTTTATCCAGCCAAAGGCTGAGTTGTGGCTTATCCTCTTGAAAGACTTTCCCATTGAGTGACGGCTAAGCAGGGATTGAGCTAATAACCCATGCCCTGGGTTATTGGAGCCACAGAGACAGAAAGGGAAAATAGGGTGGGGAATGTATTAATTTCCATCAGTTATGGACAATACTCTTAAATTACCGACTCTTGTTGAAATAACGTGTCACCGATTAATAATGTTGTTTCAACTTCCTAAACTTTCCTACCTAGAAATTTTAATTTGAAAAGAAAAAGACTTAAGAATGTGTGAAAAAGGTTTTGGTGTGGAGGTCTTTTGGTTTTGTTTTAAGTCGCACCTAATTTTAAGTCGCGGCGTAAATGAGGTTTTAAAAGTTTTTAACAGTGATGTGGATAAATTTGGAATTAAAATTGAGATCTGAAATGTTGTGTTGCTCCACTTTTAAAAATAAGTTCCCTCCGCATTTGCAATTAAAATGTCTAGAATCTGCATAAAATGTGTGAAATTAGAGATAATTGAAATACAGTAGCTATAAATATGTCTACTCCATTTGAAAAATAAATAAAATGTCCACTAAAAGGGTGCGAAAGCCGTACCCCCTTCTCTTGTTTCCCACATTTGGCTCTCTGGCATTTTTCACACTTTTATAGCTAATTTTTATTGCAAAACAATACGTTACATTTGTGGCTGTTGTGGGAATGCAGAATAGCCCCTGGCAGCTCTGTAAAAAAATGGAATGTTGGGAACACATTTAGAAGAATCCAGCTTTCCATTTCATCCACAGCGTCGGTGTCGTGCAATCGTATTAAGTGTGATCCAACAAAAACAAAAGGGGGAAAAAAAGAAAAGGCAGTGCTAGGGAAAATACTTAAAATAAGCCATTATAGGAAGTGTGTTCGTTCTGCCCTGTTTGTTATGTTTTCATAACATAACGAGTTGTCGTGATATCGAGCGGTACCTCACGTGCAAATTGTAAAGACACTCGAAACTCAGGCAGATATTATTCCTGCAACACCCCGTGCAGCCTTTTTGGTGAAATGGCCCTGTGATGTCCTGTCATTCCCGATGCCAGGCAGTGTTTCTGTTCCTGGGGAACACCAACTTCCAAAGGGCTGCTTGGTTGGAGAAACAGGCAGCTGTTGAACTGCTCTGCATCCCCACAAATATCCACTACACAAACCGGAGTTGAGAGGCCTCGGTGGAGATTACTGCCCTGTCTCATCAGTGCTCCCCATCCTGCAATTTTATTTCTGGAACCCCTGTTTTCTGCAGGCATTCCTTGCAGAGGGGATTATGCCAAAACAGGAGAGTTTCCGTGCTGGTTTTAGCCTGAGGGTAACGGGAATTCAGTGGGTTTTAATGTCCGTGGCTCCTTCAGTAGTTCCTCCTTCCTCCCTGTTGCAGGGGGTGTCACAAGAAATTTTGCTGCCCTGTATT